CAGAATTGCAATAGAGTTCATTCCACGCAGAGGATTGAAGCCTTCCAATGGCAAACATACATACAAACATAACCATATACTATATAAACAGTTAATAAGAACTGAACACAGCCTCAGTCAAGATTTTTCTGGATCCCTGGAGGGTGCAATTAATCACTGAAAACATATGCTTCTAAGAATGACTAACAAACAGAAGTATTTCATCAAAACATTTCCACTTCCGCCTTTCTGGTAAAACTGAGGTAGATGGAAGCCAGGCTGTTTTGCTAAAATGCTTCTGTTTATTAGTCACTCTTGTACGTACAAAATAAGAGCAGTTATCCGTTATCCAAGCATTATGAACATCTGTCTCCACCTGCAAGCAGATCCTCCATGAATTCCCTGAGCAGAACAAACCTATACAACCAGGGTCTGGGCGATGTGTGTCTGGCCAGATGTTTTCTGGACTGCAAACCTTGTTTGTTTATTAAAACTATTTTTACCTTACCTTTCTCCTTCAAAAGGTAGTTTACATAATTAAAAACACAATATTAAGAGCTGAAAACAATAAATTGTCCAAGTATTTTTTTAAAAAAAATTAAGTAAACATATTAAAAATGTTAGATAAAAGCATTACTAAAACAGATTTAAAAGCAACAAAAATACAAACCATCCCATTTTAGGGATCATGCAGGGAAGAGCGCTGAGGCCACAAGGATTTTTCTGACCACCTTCAGAGCCTGGGAAACTTTTTGGGTAATTACTTTGACTCCCAGAAGCCACCCCTTTCCGCCCCTGCCAGCTGAAATAATTAACATGCCCAAACTGGGGAAAAGCTCACACTTTTTACAGAGGGACTCTGTTGGTTGCCATTTATTTGTGATGGTTGACCGCAGAAGGCAGGATGGTGGCTGCTCTCCTTGAAGCAGGGAGGGTAAAGTGCAACAGCCCCCCCAACTCCCACCCCCACCTCTTCTGCCCTGCAGCCCCCTGGCAGGGTTTCAATACCCCTGGAAAATAGTCATTTTCAAAATGCAGGAGTGATTTTTCAGCCACGTCCAGTTCCATTTTGTGATTGTTTCTCCACTTTTTTCCTACAGTCCACATGCAGGCCTTCCCCCTGCAAAAAAAAAACATTTTGCCCCAGAACTGCCAACGTTTCCTGCCCCTCCGTTGTGGTATATCTTTAACCCAAAGAGCAAAATTCTATTTGCTTTTAAAGGAGAGAAGGACCAACCAGGTAACGGCATAATAAATGATATATGTACAGCGGACAAAACCAAGTCTTCAGCAACTGGAAAGACTGAAAGACTTTGGGAAGGAGAGGTTTTTTTTTTAATGCCAGCGGCCATGTGGTGTGTGGAAGGTGGGGGGGCCAGGGCTGGCAGTACCACACGTGGGGCATGGACGCTGGCGGTTTGCCTGGGGTCCTTGTGCATTCCCCACCAACCAACCACCTTCCCTCTCTCGGGAGGGATCCAGTCTCTCCCAGTTCCACCCGGGCCCGTCTTCTCCTGCTCCAGTCCAACAGCGGGGCACGGCTGCTGAGCAGAACGGGGCCTTCTTGCGGCATTAAAGGCGCTGGTGTTTCCTTTTCTCCCACACCATCTGCAACAGCCGGTTCTGGAGGATGCGAAGGACCCCCAAGGTTTCTGCAAGGATGTCTTCCTCGGTGGTGGTCTCCAGGTCTGGGCCTGAGATGGCTTCTCTTCTCTCGGCTTCTCTTCTCTCGGCCTCTCCTCTCTCGGCTTCTCCTCTCTGCGTGCAAAAGGGACACGGGGGGGGGCGGGCACAGTGATGCTCCACAAGCAGAGGCAACCCTTGGACCCACCCATCCTCAGGTGCACACAGGATGGCGGTTCAAGGTGCATCTGCATTTATCCCCCTCCACTCCCCCCCCCAAAGAAAGGCATGGACATGAGGGATGATGGATAAAGCAGGAGGAGGTCAATCTCATGGGGGGCTGACCGGCCTTTCCACCAAGATCTCATGTGAGCCTGGGGCCTTGGCCTATTTTCCAGGACCAGAAATGTGAAATAAAAGGGGGAGGTTTTGTTCTGAGCATGTGCAGAGTGCTTTCTTCTTTTCACCACAGAGGAGCGCCAAGCAAAGCCCAGAGCAGCTGGGGGGGGGAGAATGACCTTCTGGCTGGAGGCTTAAGAAAGGCAACCCACACGTCTTGTTTGGAAGGCCTACCACTGTGTTGCAGGGTGCTAGGGGACTATGGGAGTTGTAGTCCAGTGCATCTGAACAACGTCCATCCAAATGAGATCATTCACTTTTCTCTTCCCATGTTGGAAAGTGGCAGAAAGGACGAGGGAAGCTGTTGAGGTGGGTGTTTAAGGAAGGGCCATCCTCTGTGTGTGTGTGTGTGTTGGGGATGGAACAGGTAGCTGTCTGGTGGGTGCTGCTCTCCCAACCCTAACCATTGGCTATGCTGGCCAGAGCCAACAGGGGGGACGGACATTTACAGTCCATCCCCTGAAAAGCCATAGGTTGGATAAAAGGGTTCAAGGAGGAGACAGGACTCGGGAGGTCCAAGTCCCTGCGATGCCGTGACGCTCATGGGTTGACTTTGGGCCAAGCAGCCTCTTGGAGGCTCCCCCACCTCGCAGGGGTGTTGTTGACGATCAAACAGGCAGGAGAGAACTGGAGAAAAGGCCAGCAGTGTCATCGGTCTGTTTGTTAACCAGTGGTTCTTAACCTTGGGTTACTCAGGTGTTTTTGAACTGCAACTCCCAGAAACCCCAGCCAGCACAGCTGGTGGTGAAGGGGACGTGGTGGTGCTGTGGGCTAAACCGCAGAAGCCTGTGCTGCAGGGTCAGAAGATCCAGCAGTCGTAAGATCGAATCCACACAACGGAATGAGCACCCGTCGCTTGTCCCAGCTCCTGCCAACCTAGTGGTTCGAAAGCATGCAAATGCGAATAGATAAATAGGGACCACCTCGGTGGGAAGGTAACAGCGTTCCGTGTCTAAGTCGCACTGGCCATGTGACCACGGAAGATTGTCTTTGGACAAAACGCTGGCTCTATGGCTTGGAAATGGGGATGAGCACCGTCCCCTAGAGTCGAACACGACTGGATAAAAATTGTCAAGGGGAACCTTTACCTTTACCTAACCCAAGGTTAAGAACCACTGTTATAGACGTCTGTTCTGGACTGGATTGCCGTGAAGGGAAGCCAGGGAAGCGTCGCCCCACTAACCTCTAACCACACCCGGGCTGGGTCACCGGCTAAAAATGCCCTTTCCAGACAATATATAATTCACTGCGGACAGACGGCCGAGGAGCCGGGAGGAAGAGCTGTTTGAAGCCTAAATAGCTCCCGAGCCTCACTAAACAAACACTGGGGAGGGGGGGGGAAGAGCGCATCCCAGCATACCTCCGAAGGGAACCCCGTCTCGGTCCGAGGAAGAGGGCTGGACTGATGGGGCTGGCGTGGGGTCATGCGCGTCTCTTCCAGGCTCACCTGTGGCTTTTCGGCAAAGAAGATGTACAAAGCGAAAGAGAGGCAGAAGACCACGACCGCGGTCCATGGCAGCAGGGGGAAGGGGCAGTCCGGCCAGCCGGGCTCATGTCCTCCCAACCCCATGGCCCCAGGCGCTGCTGCCCCTTCGTCCTGAGAGGCTGCCTGGCCCGGGCGCGCTAGACTGACCCTGCGCCGCTCCAGCCGGGCCCCCGAGGTCCCTGTGATGAAGAGGAACGAGAGGAGCCACTCCATGATGGCTGAATGGCAGGAGATAGGCTGTTGCTCTGGGAGCTGTTACCAGGGCGACGGGGAAGAATGGACCAGGATGGGCTGGGCTGTGTAAGGGGCTCCGGGGGGGGGAGAGGTCAGGGCCCCCCTGCCTGACCCCCAGGCTTGGGGGGAAAGGGGGACAGAAGGCAGATGCTTCCTTGCAGGGGGGTACGATTCTGACTTCCTTTGCACATCACTTGGGCAGGTGGGCAGACGAGGCCCTCCCAGGTCAGATCAGAGTTTGGCTTGCTCTGCCAGGGAGAGGGCCCTGGCTTGTGTTTTCTGTTCTGCAAGGGAGGGGTGTGTGTGTGTGTGTTGCTCAGTGGCACTTTTTGTCCCAGCCCGGTGGGAACGCTGTGATCCTGGGGGCAGAGGGAGGAGCAGGGGAGAGTGAGCCGCAGAACAATAGCCGTTGTCCTGCCTGCCAGCTGCGGGCTGGTTTTGGGCAGCCGTGGTGCCAGCTTTGCTGCCTTGAGAGTCCGAGCAGTCCTGGGGGGCAACTCAACATACAGGGAAGACAGAAGGTTCAGGCCCAAGAGAGAAACCCTTCTCTAGAGAGAAGAGGGAACCTTCCTAAGCTTTAAGGAATCTGCTTTTTAAACCCCTGTGCCGAGGGGGAGAAAGCTGACCTTCTGTGGAACCCTCCAACCAACCAACCTTCCCTGGGGCACCCAGAAAGCCACACACAACACCGTGCAACGTTAGCAGTTTCAAACTTTAATAATCACCTGAAATACTGCAAAAAGTGTCCTCAATATAAAATTATTGCCAGCTCCGTCCGTCCGTTTTCTCCCCTGCCCCGGCCTGCGCTCCTCACCCCATTTTTCTAATCGTGGCTGTGGCCCTTGAAACCCCCCCTCCTCTCCATCCCTTTCCATGGGACAGGGCGGAATTATTTCCCAGTGAGAGGAGGGGAGTTGTCGTGGTTTAGTCGTGCCCGACTCTTCGTGACCCCATGGACCAGAGCACGCCAGGCCCTCCTGTCTTCAGACGAGGGGGGAGAAGACCAGCTTTTTTTTCTCACAGAGTCTGTAAACCTGGCAGCTGACCTCTCCAGCCATGTACGTTTCCACCAACTCTCTCCCAAGAGCTTGGAGGTAAAAAAAAAGTTTTCGTTCTACTCGCTGAAGGCACGTGTTGAGTTAGTAGCTCCTTTTCTTCCCACTCATCCCCACCCACCCCAAAAGCCGGCTTCTCATTCTCTCTGTCTCTGTCTCTCTGTCTCTCTCTCTCTCTCTCTCTCACACACACACACACACAAAACACACGGAGGCGGAGAGGCACTCACCCCTCCAGCTACACCACAACCAAGCTACCCACCCCATTCACATCTGCGGGAATCCCTACCCCTTTTGCCCAGCACCACCACCCCCCTCAACGTCAAGTCTTGCTCCTCTTCCTCTACCTCCTCCTGGCAACCCTCTGGGGCGGGGGCGGGTGTCACGCAGTGCTGCCGCTCGAGGGGGGCTTGGCTGCGTGGAGCTGGGCTTGGAAGTGGCTGAGCTGCTCCGCGTTGGCCAGGGAGCGCAGGAGTGCGTTCTCCTGCTCCAGCAAGGCGTTGCGCTCTGACAGCTCCTTGATCTGATCTCGCAGGACCTCGACTTCCTCCCGCACGGCAAACATCAGGTGGCTCTTTACCAGGTCCTTGGGGGGGGGGGCGGGTTGAAGAAAAAACAAGGGTGTTGCAAGGCATAGGCAAACCCCAGGATGCACCCTGCCGCGAAGGTTCCCCAAAGGAGAGCCGTGGGGCTCTGTAGAGACCAAACAGGTGCTTTGGCCACCAGCCTGCATGCTTTTCATGCCACGGCATGACAGAAACAGGTGCCAGATCAAACGGCTGGCTCTGAAGGGGCCGTGAAACCCACTCAGCAAGAGGGCCCCCCCTTCTGCTGCCCTTTTCCAAGGAGAGGGGAAGGGGCCAAGCGTAGAGGACTCCTCAGCCAGATCGCCAGCGGCAGAGTGGCACAGCTAAGCCCCTGGCCCACGGCCGCCTGGCCCACACCTTCCTGGCACAAATAACCCACGCCAACGTGCCAAGAGGTCCTTCAACCCCTCTGCAGAACGAGGGCAAAAGGCCGGAGGTGGGAGCCGGCACGAAAATGTCATTCCAGAGCTGGGCAAAGCGGCAAAGAGGGGAATGAGTGGGTTCCCAGCAGGTGGAAAGAGGCAAGCAGGCTGATTCAGTGAGTCTGTTTTGCCTACCTGAATGTTTGCTCAGGTAGGCAAAACGGACTCACTTAAGGACCCTGACAGGGCTATGAAAGGATTCTCGTTTTCTGGACTGTGACAGGAAAGGCCACGGAGTAAGGGTTAACCCCTATATGAGATTTCTCAGCTCCCGTTCAAAGGGGAGACGAGTTGCCTCCAAAGGTTTCTGTCCTTGGCATACAATATCCCTCCACGAAACTATTGCTTTTGTCCCACAGCCAAGGAGGAGGAGGAGGAAAAAAACCATATACTTTCCCTTCTCACGTGTATGGATAAGACAAACAAAGGCTTCTATCTCTTGCAATTAAAAAGCAAACAAGCAGAGAGGCGGGGTGGGGATTAAGCTGTCTTTTAGGGAACTGACGTCTCGCCGCCACAGGCTGGCCACAAACGGGAAAGACCCACGGAGGGATTCCACAAGGTCCC